GGTGATCGCAGTCCATATCAAAGAAACACCGATGCTCTTCAGCGTGTTCCTGGCGATGCTCGGGGTGAGTTTGGGCCTGATGAGGGCGCAGCTCCTGTTCCTCCAGATCTTCGGGCTGCTGGAGAAGATGCGCTGGATGTCCGTGTGGCTCGTCATTATCAAGATGGCACTGCAGATGGTCATGCTCATGAGGTGTCTCTTGCTGCCCGGACGTCGCATCGCTATTGTGATTTTGTCGCGCTGATCCTTTGGCTGCGGGCGCCGACCCGTGGTCGCTTATGGCCTATCGTGCTGTAAACTCGCATGTTGCAGAAGGTCATCCAGGTGGTCATCCTGGTGAGGATCGCACTCGTCGGCTCCACGGGTGTCGAACATCGGACGCCTGGTCCCGGGGATCAGGGGCACGGCAAGGGTAAGGCCTTCACCGAGGGTGCTAAAGATAACGTTGACGCCGCGCGCCGTGAGCCCTGGATTTGTAGGGCCAGCGCGCCGAGGCCCTTGGCGTGATAGAGACGGGCAGAGACCCAAAGAGGTTGCGGGTTCCGACAGATTGGCGTGAGGAGCAAGTCTGGGAACGCCCCCGCCTGGAACTGCCACGCGCTCGCTGTCGAGCGTGGCGGGAGGGGTGAATATGGGGTCCACTCCCGCTCCTGTCGCTGGTGTGTTAGCGCAATCAGCGAAGCGGCCAATCAAGTCCATTCTGATCCATTCCCATGCAATCATATGCTCCTCCTCCTTCTCCTCTTCCTCCTCCGCCCTCCTGCCTCCCCCCTACTCTCTCATCCCTCCCCGTCCTTCCTCCGTCCCCCAACCTCTAATAGCCCTCCCTCCTCACCCCTCCCTCCTGCTCATCATCATGATCATCATCATCGTCATCATCATCATCATCAACAACAACAACAACATCATCATCATCATCATCATCATCCTCAGCAGCAGCAGCAGCAGCAACAGGATCATCATAATCATCAGCATCAGCAGCAGCATCAGCATCAGCATCAGCATCATCATCATCATCATCCTCATCAGCATCATCATCATCATGATCATCACCATCATCAGTATCAGCATCGTCATCATCATCGTCATTATCATCCTCGTCATCATCAGCATCAGCATCAGCAGCATCATCAGCATCAGCATCAGCATCAGCATCAGCATTGTCATCATCATCATCATCATACCCAGTACCATCCTCATCCTCATCATTATCACCATCATCATCATCGTCAGCATCAGCAACATCGTCATTATCATCCTCATCCTCAGCATCATCATCAGCAGTGTCATCACATCAATGCAGGACGACGAATAACATAAAAAAGATAGGGGGCGTCAACAAATATGTATTTGACTTCTATATGATTTCCCAACGGGAGGAGGACGATTAAAACATGTCTATGACACGTCGGCTCCATATAGAGCTCCATAGAGAGCTCCACCGAAGTCCACAGTGGCAGGGTCTGCATGGCGGCCTCGGGCCACTTTGGCGCACCCCTCACACGCTTCGCGGCCGCATAGGGAGCTCTACCGAAGGCCACAGTGGCAGGGTCCGCATGTCGGCATTCACAGCTGCACATGGTTGGGTCTTGCACCTCCTGATCCTCCACTTGCTATAGGTAACTACAAAGCCGATCCGTTCGCCGTTGTAATTGCATCCCGCTGCTGTTGCACCCGCTCCTTTCTCCTTGACCCCCTCACTCCTAACCCTCCGTTTCGGCTCCGTCTGGCGCGTCGGCTGTCCGCGCGCGCGCCCGAGGACGGGAGGGGGGGAACGATTTAAAAAAGTGTCCCAGCCCGCGGAGGATTTATTCTAATCATCCTCTGGGGCGCCGCCGACGCAACACGACCCCCGGTCATGTATTGATCGTCATCCTGCATTAAGCATCATCATAAGCATCAGCAGCATCATCATCATCCTAAGCATCGTCATCCTCATCAGCATCAGCATCCTCATCGTCATCAGCATCATCATCAGCATCATCATAATCCTAATCAACTCCATCAGCAACATCATCACCATCATCATCAACAACATCAGCAGCACCGTCACCATCATCATCATGATGATCATCATCATCATCATCATCATCATCACCACCATCATCATCATCATCGTCATCATCTCGTTTCCTAGTCGCCCGTCTCCTCGAACAGGCCGGGCGGTGCTGCCTGCGCCCAGACGCCGCTGGTGGCCGGAGGAAGAGAATGGGAACATGGATGAGGACGAGGGCGAGGAGGACCGAGCAACAACGGGAAATGCATGAAGACAAATGAAGAGGACGGTCCAGTTCGGCATTACAACAATCTGTGCACGGCGAAAAGAGGCTGAGAACCGAGTCCAAGGCGCCCCAGATCAGGACAGAGGGGGGCAGAGACCTCAGTTCGAAGATGGAGGCATCGAAGCGAAATAGACGAGGACTGGGCCCACAAGAGGAGGCCAAGGTAGGAGTGAGGATGGCTTCGCGTATTGGAGGATGTGGAGCTACAGACATTGGGGGGCCCGAGCTCTGCTCTCGCGTAAGCCGTTTCTGGCCTGCGAGTCGAAGCTTTTGACCCACACCGAAGAAAAAACGATCCCCTGATTATTGATGGCCGCGCCTTGCCACATGCGAAGGCGGGCGCGTGCAAGGCAACGCCGTTGCAGCTCTGACAACAACAATAAGAAAAAGAGGAGGAGGAGGAGGAGGACGGGCGGGGAATCACGTGGCACATGGAACACCTATGACGGGAAAGAGGTTAAGCGATGCGACCACTCCGGGGCGCAGCGAAACACCCTCGCAAAACGGCAACACGCAAAAAAATGTCACGAACTACGGCCCCAAAAATATAGCACGACAGCCGAGACGCTTTCCCGGACTCAGCGCGCAACCAAGTCCGCGGCTGGATGGCCCGGCACGCCGCGGAGAGAGGGAGGACAAAACAGAGAAGAAAAGACGCACGGGCAACGGCATCGGCAACCGCGTGAGAGCAGTGGGGCCCTGCCTGTTGCGGTGCGCCACACGGCGGCTGCGGCTGCCATGACGCGGGCGCGGAGCGTCGCGGGTCCCTCCCAGGAAATTCAAGCAACAGTGACACCTCGCGCGGACGCGGGGCCTCTAGGCCCAGCGGAGAGGAGGAGGAGGAGAAAGAGAAGGAGTCGGGAGGAAGGGCGGCAGGCAGGCAGGCACGCAGAAAGCAAGCGGGGGAGCACGGCCACGGGGCGCGAGCCACCAGGCGCCGCCAATTAGGCGGACGCGGGGCGGAAACGGCGGCGGGGGAGCTGGGGGGGCGGGTGGCCGCGAGGGCGCCTAAATCTAAATGGCGTCCGGCCTGCGGCCTGGCCAGCAGGTCTGGACCTACCGACGAACGGCCCCGCGCCAAAGTTCGGCGACGACGGCGGCAGAGAGGCGCCTGCGCCGCCACCCCCGTCCTCACAGCCACGCCCACGCGACCATTCGGTCGCGAGTGCGCGGAGGATGACCGTCGTTCGGGGGCGAGGCCGGCCGCGACGCGTGAATGCCAGCGGTTGGCACGTGATGTTTTGCCGCGCCAGAGCGTCTGCGCGCGCAGAAAAGCACTCGACCTTGCGCCGGCGCAAGGCGGCCGCGAAGTCTGGGCCTGCGGCCGCGGCGTCGGGCGACGTCAGCTGGTCGGAGCCGCGCGCCCGGCACCAGGCCAGCGCCACGGGCTCGGCGCCGCGGTCGCAAACTCTAGCGGCGTCGCGCGCCCGTCGCGCCACCGCGAGGTGCCCTCGCGCAGACTCCGCGCGGCTGCAGCACAGCGCGCGGGGCCCAGCCTGGCCCAGGAGGGCAGCGCCGCAGAGGCCGCGAGGGGGTCGAGAGGTCCTGCTGCGCCGACGCGAAGGAAGAGAGCCTCGTGCTTGGACGGGTTCCAGAGACAGGCGCGGTCGCAGTCAGGGTGCTCGAGGTTTTCGCGCCGCAGCGTCGCGCCGCGGCCCGCCCCCCCGGCGCCGGCTGCGGAGGTCGCGCCAGCCCGGCTCGTCGAGGCGGCGCAGGGCAGGGCCCCCCGCCGCAGTTGCAGCTGCCAGGCGCGTAGACAGGAGCCAGGGCATTCGCCCTCCTCGCCCTCGTCAGAAGGCACAGGTTGCAGCCGACGCCCCCGGGGCGGGCGCGGCGGCCCCTGGGGGCGGCCGACGGCGCCATCGCGCGCGGACCGAAGAGCGCAACCCACCGCGCCTCTGCGGGCGCGGCCACAACAGGGCGCCCCGCGCGGGCGGTGGGCCGAGGGCGACGCGCGCCGCGGACTCGTCTGCGCGCCGGTCGCGGGCTGTCACGAGGAGCCCCGAGTCGCCCGGCCCTCTCTCCGCGAGGCCCGTCGCCTCCTCGAGCGCGCAGAGCCTCGGGCAGACCCGGGCAGCCGCGGCCGGCAACGACGGCGGCGAACGAGGCCAGCGCGGCGGCCCGCGCGCCGAGCCCCCCCCAGCGCTCGCGTCGAGCGCGCTTCTCCCCCAGGCTGCGTCGGAGGTCGCCGCCGGCGACAAGCTAACCCGCCTCGCGGAGGTCAGTGCGGAACTGCTGCAGGCCTTCGCTTCCCACCTTCCCCGCCAAGCCGGAGCCGGCGGGAGACTTTCGGCGCGTCGGCGCAGAGCCGCGCGAGCACCAGCTCGACGGCGGCGCGCCGAACCTCGAGCAAGGCAGGGCGAACGTCGCAGGCCTTGACGAACACGGCCCTGGCCCAGTCGCCAAGCGCGTCGGAGCCACCGACGGGCGCGCCGAGATGGAGCGCGGACCCTTCCAGGGAGAGCACTGCAAAAACAGTGCCTCCTCCTCCTCCTCCTCCTCCTCTTCCTCCTCCTCCTCCTCCTCCTCCTCCTCCTCTTCCTCCTCCCTCCATCCCTCCCTCCCTCCCTCCCTCCCCCCCTCCCTCCCTCCCTTCCTCCCCTC